ATCTGACACTTGTGAACTAACATGTGAAATTTCAGATGATTAATCCAGAAGTGAAAATCATAAGTGTAGAGAACACTCCAGACGACCCTCGCCAGAGAAAACCGGACATATCAAAGGCTAAGGAGTTGTTGGGATGGGAACCAAAGGTTAAATTGCGCGATGGCATTCCCCTTATGGAGGAAGATTTTCGCAAGAGGCTCGGGATTTCAAGGAAGAATTAAATGTTCAATGCTCACTATTGATATTCGTTTGTCTTTGTCCCTTTTCTTTCTTTGTTTTTGTTACTTGCCTTTGAGATATACTTCTATGCGGCTTTTCATTGTGGTTTGCTGTCTAATGTTGTGATTTTTCGGGTTCTCTTACAAATGGACACAGTATTTTTTTTTTTCCCCCAATTGTCTGAGCAAAAGGGTGAACATTTTCTTTTGTAAAACTTCAATTACTATGAATAAAATTTTGGAGCTGTGTGACATTTTTGTGTTTTCGTGAAATGCGAGCATTTTTCCCCTGGTTTTATGTATTGGTCTTCCTGTTAATTTTTAATGTTTGGCTTTTATTTATATAATTGTTTGGCTTTTATTTATGCATTATATAATTAACATATATTTGGCATCGAAAGCTTAAATTTGAAAATCACGATTGCTGCACTTTTTCGCGTTATCTGGTCAACACTTAGAAGAATAACAGAAATGGTGATGGTGATTAAATAACTAACGAATATAGTATGTAAATTATGACCAGTCACCATAGTTTGCAAGGTATAACTGATAAATTATATAGTAGGTTGAGACAATGTTACGAGTTTAAAATTAAATAAAAAGTTCACCTAGTACTATATTATATAAATTTAATCTAGAATTATCCTAAAACAATTTACATGCTTTGGAGGCCTAGAATGGATTTATGATTATTGACTTAGTAAATAAATTGTTATCATTATTTATTAAATATTTCCTTTGGACTGATCTAACTTATTTATACAAAATAAATAAAGGTTGTCTTTGAAAATTTTGTGTCATGATACATGTTAAAAAATAGAGGTTCTTTACTTTAAATTTTACTTTGTTCGATAAATGTATGAATAATGGATAAAATATATGTTTATCTAGTCATTATGTATACAAAAATCATATAATAATTAAAATATAGTCCTTATATGTGAGATAATTTTATACTCGGATAGATGGATGAACAAGATGATATATAAATATATGTTTATTCATTTTTTTTGCAGTGTTTATTTGAAAAAATTATAATACTAGTTTATCTGAAATATTATATAATTGTGAAAATTTAAAATTCACATACTTTTGAGATAATTAAACATATAACTGTGAGATAATTTCATTGTGTTCTCATGTACAGCCTCATATCATCGAAATTTTAGTTAACCCTCACTACCTTCTAATCTTCACTAAGTGATATTCGATATTTGTACTATGAGCCTGCATAGTGCCTGAGGCCTGGAGAGGAAAGGGCAGTGGTCGGAATTTTTGAGGTCGAAAACTTGGTTAGGCGGACTTGATCGTATCATCGATTCTTGTACGGAAGGAGGAATGACAAAATCATCATCCGTTTTTATGTAAAATCTTGCGATGGAACCATAGTTTTGTGATGAAAGCGAAAGCTTCTCTTTGGCAGGAGCAAATGGTACAGCCCTCATTGATAATGATGCTAATGCAATGTCCTGTGTCAAAAAGTACATATACACCAACTTTAACCTATATTACAACTCTCAAATTTTCATGTTCAAAAAGCAATAAAACCAATATTGTACCTTTGAAAGTGTTCGGTTAAACAAGAACTCCTCCAGAAGTGACTTGTCGAAATCTATAGAAGTTGGCTGATGATCTTTTTTCCCCTTTGCATATATGAATTTCTGGGCACGTTGACTAATGTCACTCAAACATGACTGCCCCACCATTAAACACCAACTTGAGTTAAAATTTTCCAAAGATGCTAATTATAAACCGCTTGAATAAAATGCATATATGCATGAAGATTTTAGCTTGAAGTTGTACTCACCTGATGAGAAAAGATATCAAGGGCTCTCTGGCCATTAGTGAGCATAGTTGCAGCCACAAAAATGGCCTTGGAGACTTTGTGAGGATAAATCTCCATTGCATGAGAGATACAGGCTCCACCAAGATCATGTCCCACTAATATAACCTGCATAGTACAACTAAAATGTTGATGACTCTTTTCATAAAGAAAGGCTCCACCAAAAAATAAATGAATTTTTAGCATGACCATAAATGCCATCTCCTACTCCTACAGTCCATAGCTAAGAGGACTAATATAAGAGTGATTCAAAATAAGACAAAAAAATTCAATTTTGGTCTGTTTACTTGTCTAAAGTCTTTTTTTGGTACACTAACATTCCTGTCATCAATAATAGTATGGTATATATATATGTTGCAATTTGTATCACTGTTGGGACATTAATCCAGAAATGGTTCATTATTGGTTCATTATTCTTTGAGATAAATGTTCTAAAAACGATACAAATTGCAGCATAACGTACTATTTTTTATGAGTAATGTCCCAAAAATGATACAAATTGCAACATAACGTACTATTTTTTATAAGGAGAAAAAAAAAAAAAAAAAAAGAGACTTTAGACAAGTAACAGACTAAAATTGAAATTTTGCCTTCAAAATAATATTATACCTGTTTATTATGACCAAGATTTGCTAGGAAATGAGTAAGTGGGATAGCATAGTGAGCTAGAGTGTTGATGGAATTGATATCACAAAAGTTGGATCCAGAGCCAGTGAGGTCTATGGCATCAACCTTGTATTTGTGTTGTTTAAGGAGAGCTATAATCTTGTACCAACACCATGCTCCAAAACCTCCACCGTGGACGAGCACAAAGTGCTTCTGCTCTTGCTCATCATCACTCTTTGCTATATCCTGAAATAAATGCCTAATGCTTGTAACATTACTGATTTTTTGATTTTTTGTAAATGGAGAAAATTCTCAAAATCAATTAATTCTAACAAAGAAATGAAAATGTTGAAGAAAATTGAGGTTAAGTCGCTCAATGTTAGCTGAAATCGGACTGGACCGAGCAGTGAACCAGCACTAGTGCTCGGGCCAGCCCAACTGTTGGAGCCCAACAGTTGCCTGGGACTTTTAGTGAGCGCTGGCCACCAAAGTTCGTCCCAAAAAAGATGTATCCTAAAGGTTAACCTCTGGAGTTGATTTGGACATCTATAAATGCCTCGTCAAGTGATTTAGAGGGTCAAAATCTAACTCAACTTTAATCTAACTGCAATATCCTCAATATTATCAATATAATTAAATAATATCAATCAATTATTTTTACATATTACATCAACTTTAATTTACTATTCATCAACTCACATAATTTTAACTAACTATCATTTAACATTATCTTTCTCATACTTTTATATCAAATCGACTTAATTATTTTAGTTTAAATATTATTTTAATATAAAATCAAAATTCCAGTAACAATGAATCATACTATGTTTTTCAAAATTAACCATGCTTAACCAAAAAAATATCATTTTGAGCAGATAAATTAGTATCCAAGCAATAATTGGTTGATATTATTTAATTATATTTGTAATATTGAGGATAATAAAGTTGAGTTATAATTAAGTTAGATTTTGAGTATGATTTGAGTATAAATTGAATTATTTTAAATACAAACACACCATAGACACTTTCTCCACTGGTGCAGAAATAATTCTAAACTCGTAAATGCAGATAAGCGGTTAGTTCATCTTAGAAACTTGAACCTCTTTTTATTTTTTTAAATCAACTGGAATGTATTGAAAATTGCAAACAATACAATTTCGTGTCACAATAATCAAGTATTAATGACGCTATAAAAAAGCGTCATGCATTGGGATTTACCGACGGCAAAATTTTATGTCACAACTCGTAATAATAATAACGCGCTAAAAAAAGGATCATTCATTGAAAATTACTTACAATAACATATTGTGTCACTAAATTAAGTACTGATACACTTTTGAAAAATTGTCGCCCATTAAAGATTACCCACGCATATAGGTTGCGTCACAAATAAATTCGTGATATCAAATTTAACAACGCAATTGGTGACATTTTTGCAAGTGTAGGTAAATTTATCTGTGACACTAATAAATGTCACTAAATAAAAAAAAAAAAAAGCGTCTCTAAATGTAGTTTTTGTTGGAGTGGTATATATAGACAACTGATGTAGATGAAAATATATTGTATTGTACCAATGTACACCTATTTAATATTTATGCAGTGTTATTTTCTTTTTAACAAAATTAACATTTGAGTTGATCATGCAATTAAATAACAATATAATTGCCCCCAAAAGTCAGCAAACTTGTACTACACTTAAGTCAAATAATAACAATACAAGACGTTGCCCCAATGCCCTTTGGGCATGGCATTGAACAGTATGAATCCTTCGCATGGAAGAGAGGGGAGAGAGAATAATTGACTAAAAAGACAGACAAAAATATCAAAACACAACAAACAACAAAGGCGTGTTTGTTTACAAATAATTAAATTCGCTCTTAATGAGTTTTTTTGATTAATTAAAATTAATTTAAAAAAAATAGATAATTAGTTGTTAGTGGGATATTAATATTTAAAATAAAATAATTAAAGTTGATTTGATGTAAAAATAGGAGAGAAATGATGTGAAGTGATAATTAGTTAAAATTATGTTAGTTGAATTATTAAAACCAAAATTAGGAATTACCTAAAATTACAAATAATGAGCTTCATTATTATCTTTNNNAGATCCAAACAAACAGCTTAATTATAAATGTAACGAGTACCTTAATTAGACTGAAGATTTCCATAGGATTGAAAATAACATAAGTTGAATGTGAAACCTGATTTGGGAGCATAGAAGTCGAGCACGAAAGTGAGCGTGATCGAGCTGGCAGCCTTTTCGACTTGTTGTAAGAATTCAAAGTGCGATTATTGGTCGACACTGATCGTTCAATTTGCCGAATAAGATGATCATGACCACCATTGTTTTGCAAGTGCTGATGATAAAGCATGGTAGCTATTTGTGCCTGTTTCTTGATGTAAGAGTCTTCGAAAATGACGTCAGCCTCCGACTCTAATTTTCTTGATTTTTTTAAGGAGGATAAAGGAGATAGCCATGGTGGTATAATAAGCTCTTTCTTTGTTTCTTTTGATGTTGTTTTTGCCTTTGTTGGTGTTTGTGTTGGTGCAAAACATGCAAGTGAATTCCCCATTGCTTGTGTTATTTTGTGGTGCAAGTAAAGGGTTCAAATAAATTTTCAAGTGTGTGAGGTTTGGTTTATAGATAGGTTGCATTATGTCAAATGAGTGTGTGTGTGTGTAAAAGTTGAATAGGTCTGCATGGAGACTTTTACATTGGATCCATACATTGAATTTGGTATTAGATGATAGTTGAAACTTGATTTTTAGGTTTGTATTGAATATACCAAGGTGTCATCATATCGGTTATGTTCCCTTAGCTACTATACTAAATAGACCACGTGGTCAATTAGTAACATTGAAATTTTGAGTGTGGGAGAATATAATCAGTTTACCATAGGGTGAAGGAAAATATACAGTATATACGTACAACGAATAATGGTTGCATTAAATGATTATAGGATATTAGGTAGGAAGTATTTGTTGACTTTGGATCGTTTCATTTATTTTTGCACCGAACTCATTTTTTGTAAGTTTAATATTCAGACTCGACCTGATAAAACTGGACAAAATGGACCGGTAGGTCAATCAGAGATCGATGAAGTAATGTCAAATTTATTAAATTCACTAACAACATACAACTAAGGTTAAATAGCTCACCAATTAAAATTTCCTTAATTAAGATTTACTTCTAAAATATGAGAGAAGAGATTAAAATACAATTGTAACCAAAAAACAAGTGACATATTTATACTAAAAAGATACTAACATTATTGGTACACACATCGAGTGTGGGACAAATATTAAGTAAAAACACTAACAAGTTTTTATTCGAAAGATATGATGAGTCGTATAGTTTAACCATTAGTATGAAAATATGTGAACGTTGTTGTGAGATGACTTATGGTCAAACAAGTCGGTCCGTCATACTTTTTAAACAAACAATACATACTTATACTAATAAATATCATACTATAATTTCATTTATATTTTTTTATAAATTATATATTTAAACATAGTTCTCATGAAGGATGAGTCTCCTAAGGGAGATCAGATACAAATAAAATTAGTTTTGATTGGATTTACTAGTTAAAATGAGTTACTTTGAATAAATTTGACTAAGTTGAGGATTGAGTGAAACTTTTTATTTATATTTAAGTAATATTTAAAAGATAACGATTAAAGTTAATGAGATGTGAAAGTAGGAGATAAATTATTAAAAACAATAGGTATTTAAAAAATATAAGTGGATGAATAATGAATAAGAATCTCTCTCTTACATATAAGTAAAAGTGTAAGGAGTTCTATGCCTGACACGTGTCCTTTATTTTCGAACATAAATACCCTTCACTTTAAACCCTTTTTTACATATCATGCCACTACATTGACCATCCTCTTCCTTCAAAGATGGGGTTCGCGTGTCCCGGGAAATATGGTGACGCGGTAATAGTGCCCCGCGATTCTGTGGATTTGGTCGCTGCTCTTTGGGAGATTTTGTAAACGGGAAATCGGGGTACGCCTTTCTCCAATTATTAAGAGAAGACCCTACAATTTCTTTTCATTTTTGCCCCCTCTGTTTGCGCTCTGGTCTCAGTGTATTTCGGGTGGTTTTCAGTCTATTTTTTCTTTTTTTAAAGACGTCCTTCAATTTCGGAGAAGGTATGCGCCAGTATTCATCTGCTTTAGGGTTGTGCTTGGATGAGCTTCCTCTTGCCCTTTTCACTGTATGTTTGTTGTGTTGCCTTTTTTTTAAAAAAAAAAAAATTGTTGCCCTTTGTTTTTCGAATTGGGTTTGTTTTTAACTTTTTATTGGGGCTTCATCGTGTCGTTGTGTGTGCGTGTGGTCTGATATCTCAGTTTAATTAACGCCTGGCGCACGATTTCTGGGGGCTGGGTGCGTGGGTGATGGTGGGTATCATTTTCGCGAGCCTAAGCCTTTTGTGTGTGTGTGGTTTGCAGCCAGCTTATGGAAACTGTCCATCAATCAGGAGATAGTGAGGGTTCTGGGTCGGGCATAAATAAACGGCAATCTTCTCTTAATAATTGGAGGGCCAAAAAACAGCGGTTAGCTCAGTCTGCTTCGTCAATTTCCAGTACGGATGCAGCAGTTCGACGGAACTTGAGCTCTGACGCTCAGTCAAGTATCGTTCAGCCAGGATTGGTGACTACCAGTACTGCCCTTGAAGGCCAACAACAGTCAGGTGCGTCATTGCGTTTTAAAGAAAGTGTGTGTGTTTTTTTTGTTTTTTTTTTNTTTTTGTACACTAAATAATGCCGCATTTTGGTGCCCATGCTTCATTTCATCATGTAATCAGTGATTTTGTGCTTCCGCTCCACTTCCTTTTGCAGGCAATGTGGGTTTTGTGGATGATCCCAGTAGGTGCTGTTGGTGTTGGATTGGAATATTTCTTTTAGATGGCTTTTTTTGCATATAGATTGTACTTTTTTGAGTGTGTGTTACTGTGGTTGTCTGCAGGTCCGTCTACAAGTCGGGCACGTAGGCTGAGCTGTTCAATGGAGAGTTAATTTACACTAACATTCACCAGGTATGTTGTGCTACTTTTTGCGCTTATTTAGAGATTTTTTTGTGGTTTATTTGCTAAAATTAGAATGGTAATAGCAGATGAACTGTAAGAGTATTATTTCCTTCGATTTTTTCCTAATCGGTTGATGTTTTGTTTGGCCCGCTGAAGAATGTGAGGGCAGATTAGTAATACTTTGTACTTTTTTGTGGTAATTTATTAGAAAAGCGACCAAAAACTGATTTAGTTATGGTGAATAAGAAACATAGTAAGTATTGTTATTTGAATGCATCTATTGTGAAGAAAGATGCTAACTGCATTGGTAAATGCTATTTGGATTGCACATGTCCACTTGTTTTTGTGTCGTTGTATGCATAGCTTATCATGCCAAAATCAATCTATATGTGGTTTTTTTGACAATTTTCGCCTGCTGAATTATGGTTCTGATTCTGAACGAGTGTGCTTTTGATTTTGAGCGACTAAAAAATAGTTTCTACAAGGGCTACCTCTTCCCCCTCCACCCGTCTCTCCATGGTCCTCAGGCTCCAACTGTGACTTCACCTCCGGACACCCGAGCTCCGCCGACGACTGTCTCGACCTCAAGCTCCTCACTGGCTACCCCACATCCAAGCCACTGTCGACGTTTCAAGTACTTCTATGTCTCCAACCTCTTACACAAAGAGAAGATTTGCCAAGGTATGGCGCGAGGGAAGTGATCCGCAGGTACATAATGAAATTTGTGGTTTTTTTTTTTTACACGCTTGAACTTTCTGGTGAGCTGCTTTCTATATTTGATGATCACATAATTGTGAGATAGATGATATTTTTGGAAGGGAAAAACTTTTGTTTTGCCTGTTATCATTTTAAAATGTTTCAATTTTCGTGAAGCGAAAAAAAGTTCAGTTTTCTTGTTCACATCGAAATATTATTGAGTTTAACAATAATTGTTGTTTGTTTTTTATTTTCTTTCTCTTTCTTTTTCCAATGTCAGGAATTGCTTTTTCTGAGAATGCGCGTGCCATAACCCAGAGCCATAGTGATTATTCTTGAATCTTTTTGGTCAGTTATGTATATGGTCTTAAAGATTATAGCTTTTTTGTTCTCTTTCTTTTCCTTATTGTTTTTCGTTGGGCTTTCGTTGCATGGGTGTCTTATCTTTTAGTATGTGGTTTTGGTTGGATGGTTCTGGTGGGTGAAATGGCCAAGCCAACCCTGTACTCTTCTTATTAAATTTATTCTCGTTTATGTTTATACTATTATAACTACGAAGTTCCAAATGTGGTTTTTACTCGGGGTGTATAACTTTGTGTTGTTATCTTCTGTGTGTAACTATAATTCTCTTGTTTCTGGCTAACGAGATTCTAATTTGCAGGGGAATAGTTTTGTTCACCACATCTCTAGCTCTTTACAAACGTCAAGGTATCCGTATTAATATTCTTTTCCCTCAGATGAAATATGTCATATTTATAAGTTATATTTTTCCTTATAGCTCTAACTCACTCGAAGAGAATACAAATACTTTTCTAAAAGGTATACTTTCCTTGCAGCTCTAACTCACTGTTTTTTTTTTTTTT